GTCGGCGCCTGTGTCAGTCGACGGGTCGGTGTCCGGCCAGGTTGCCAGGTCGACGCCTGTGTCCGGGTCAGGTCATCAGGTCGGCGCTTGTGTCCGGGTCATGTTGTCAGGTCGGCGCCTGCATCCGGGCCAGATTGCCAGATCGGCGCATGTGGCAGGCTGATCCGGCCAGGTCGCGCGCAGTTCGCGCAGGTGCCGGTGCTGGAAAAGGAGAAGATGACTCTGCCGCCGGTTTCTCTAATATCTGGAAAACGAAAATATCAAAAAAAAAAATAAAAATAAAAAATGAGGTGAAAAGATGGGTTGGAGAGTACCGCCGGTTGCCGTTGTAGGTGCCGGTGCCGGAGAAGGAGAAAATGCTCTAGCGAGGGAGAAGCAGTCAGGATCAGGCACTCGAGAGGGAGGAAAGGGAGAAGAGGGTTTTGAGAAGTGGGAAAAACCAATGGGTTGGTTGGGGATAACGGAAGGGGCTAACGGGGCCCTGCACGCGCTGTTTAGCGTCTCTCGTGTCAAAGGATAGGTGGCGGATGGTGAGCGTGTGGGGCGTTTGTGGGAAAAGACTGGGTGGGGCGCAGATTTGAACTCTCTTGGCTATTAGTCCTAGGAGCTGGAACCCTCCCATTCGTTACCCTCTTCATTGAATTCTTCCTTATAATGTCTAGCATTTGGGTGGGACATGTTTACTATGTTTTTGGCTTCCTGTTCATCGTTTTGATCCTTCTTATTGTGGTCCGACACGTGAAGAAGAGATGGAGGGACGTTCGAAGCCCCTGTGAAGAAGAGTAGGTTGTAACTGTGCTCCGACAACGTCCGGCGCCTACAGCGAGGACGAAGGCGACGAGATGGAGGGATGTGACGATGGCCAAAACCGAGACGGAGGCCACCGTCGCTCTCTCTCTCTCTGATCGGCTTAGTGAGGTGAACGGCGGGATCTGCTTATGTTGATGATGACCTTCGTTTTCACTCGCTCCCTGCTTTTCGCCTTTTTCTGCAATTTTGCTTTTTTTTTGGTAGGTGGGGGAGTGCTTCGAGTCCCAGGCCATCGGAGGATAAAGCCTCATGGACTCGTAGAGGCAAGCTTTCAACAATGACAAGTTTTTCAGAGCTTCGTAATCCAACAATTTCCGCTCGTCGTTGCCAAGTGCCGTGACTACTTCCTTGACAACATCTTTCTCAGTATTGGGGTGTCGGGAAAGCGACGAGAAGAGCCACGTCATTGCCGCTGATGTTGTGTCCCTTCCCGCCATTATGAAGTTTATAACCATGTCTCCCATCACATCATCGTCGTACCCGGCTGAATCCCCAGTTGGTTGTCTCCAGCGTCAGCCGATGAAAGGGAAAGTTAAATCGTGTTTTGTGATCGGTTCAATCAGCCGAACGACTGGTAACGAGAAAGACTCCGGATCTCCTGCCCACGCCATCGTGATCAAGATGAATGAGATGACGTGTTCGCCTCTCATTCGAGTGGGCACTCGTAACGCACTCATTTGAACCTACTCTGTGATCTGACTCAAACGGTTAAACCTCTTTGGCGTTGGCGTTGCATATGTATTGACTATTAAGAGAGGTTACCTATAGCGGCATTGGCTTTGCTTTAAATAGCGACATTGGACCATTACCACCTCGTCATTACTATTAGTGTATATCCCTTTGGTTTTATTAATTGTCGTTTATTAGAAAATTGGCATCAGTTCAGTGTCAAATAAGCATTTTTTTAATTAATGGGGTTTGACTTAAAAAAAAAAATGTTTTTCTTGAGTTGTGTAAGATTTTTTTACTGTTTGGTTTATGTAGTGTTTAATGGTATAAAAATAAATATTTTGTCCCAATTTTCAGAAGAAAATTTATATAAAACATTTTACTGTAAACAGCAATTGAAAACAGCCCCTACATTTGCATCGGTAAAATGGTAACCATCCTTCAAATGGTGATTCATAATTGAAATATTACAAAGCTTTTGAAGCCAAAACCTATTGAAACTTTCAGCTTGCCAATAACCATGATGGCATCAAAATCATCATATGCTTGACATGTCAAGGAGATCCAACTCTCTATTAGCCTCAGATGGACAATTGGGGAAGGGCAAAGTGCTGAAATCCGGCCAGAAGTGAAAGGGGATCTTTGTCGCAAAACAAAGTTAATGTGGGGACTATCATAACCCCCTAGTCAAGACCCACACCCATGCGATGCTTCTCCAATATATGTTGTGAGAAATTGAGCTGGGAGTCTTACGCCATTCGTAATTGGGTTAAGTCAGATTCAATCCATTTCAAGCATTCTTCTTGTGTTATGTATTGTTTGATAAGGTTGTATTAATTTCCATTGAATTTTTTAATAATATTTATTAAGTTTCATTATTTTTAGATAAATTTGCATTATTTTTGTTATTTTTAAATTAAACTTAAATGAATATTAACGTTTTAGTTATTGTTTGTAATGCATGAGCTTTGTTAAGTGAAATTAAAGTAAAGCCTTAAGACATTTGGACAATTGGACTTGGGGAGAGTTGGTCTAGGTCCAATACAAATATTATTTTTGGGTTATGTATTGTTACATAAATTTATATTATTTTAGATAGATTTTAAATTTAAAAGTAGTATTGAAATTATTATTTTTATCGTTTTTAAATGGAACCTAAACTGTATTTAAAAAAAATAAAATTAAAATAATAACTTTTCAATTTTTAATATTTTATATTATTTTAAGTGAAATGTAGGTAGAATGAGTCAATTAAGTTAAGTTATTAAAATTAAATAAATTCAATCCATTAAATAAGTTAAGTTAATTAAGTCAATTGTCCAAGCTAAATTAATTAGGTTAATTAAGTCAAATTAGTTAATTATGTTAAAGTTGAATCATTAGTTTAATTAAGCCATTTAAGTTAATTTACTTATTAGGTGAATTAAGTTAATTTGTATTAATAATTAAGTCAATTAAATAGATTAAGTTAAGTGAATTATGTCCATCAAGGGATGTCAATGGATCATGGTAAATTCATGGTTTTAAAAAACGATCTGAAAATGAAACCGTTCTAGCCACCAGTTTTCGAGTCGACGGTTTGAATGAATGGCCCATTCTGAAAACAAAAATTAAAAAATAAAAATAAAAACGGTCAAGACCGTCAAATGGGTTGACGGTTTGACTGCCTGAGTCAATGAATCATTAACTGATTCAACGGTTTTTGGCCAAAGACCAAGTTTGGGATAAAACAGAACCAGTTGTCTGAATGAATCCCAGGCCGAACGATCTGACTGTTCAGGCCAACAATAGCTCGAAAACCATGAATAAACTTGTTATAACTGTTAGGGTCATGGTATAAGGTTGGGTTATTGTATTGATGCTTTAATACACAAATTGAATTTGGGTTTCATTGACTCTACCAGGTCATAATACCTCTACGTGGAGGGTCATAATTATTTTTCATGTTTTTTTTTCTTATGTCATTATCAATGGGTTTGGGCAAGGCTAGCTTTTATACACCCCGTCCTTGACCCCAAACATGCATACGCCGCCCTATCCCCACCCAGTACCTTGACAAGGTTGGAAATCACTCCCCATCCGCAATTCCTTCGAGGAAGGGGGATCCCCAAAATTTCCCTACGGTCCCACCCCGTCCCCGCCATTCCTCCTTGCAAACCTATTTTTGAGAAAAACATATTATAATATTTATACATTATATAATATAAAATAACATATTATATATTTATATATAATATACTATTTTATATTATAATATTTATAATATAATCTAAGATTCCAAATATAACATATTATAATATCTATATTTATTTAACTATTGGAGTGGAAAAATATCACCCTCACCTTTCATAGGAATGTCAATGGGGTGGGGCAACATCCATGTGAAAATCCTTGTCCTCATGGGGACCTCCACTCCTCGGTTATGATATTAATCATTTTGTTTTTATTTTATTTAAAAATTAAAAATAAAATAGACAAAAATCCCATTAAACAATTCAATATGTTCAAACATATCATCCATATTTTTTAAAATATTAATATATATACATACATAAATGGAGATCCTCGCAAGGTGGAGAGTGCTCTCCTCATCCCCACCAATGGGGATGAAAATTTCCCCACCCCATTTAGGACAAATCCCCATGGGGGGAAATGGGAAAATCTGTCATCCCTAGCCCTTTTCCTAGTCACAAATGTTTTAAGTTTCCCTAAACCCGCCTCGAACCCAATCAATGGTCAAAAAGCTCACCCCAATTAGGATGGGGATGGTTAAATTGCCACCTATTCTTAGGTTTTCAAATGCATTGTAAAAAAAAAAAAAATACAATTGAAAAGATGCAAGTCTGATTGGTATCAAGTTTAGGGTTGGATTGGTTTCATAAACTATGTTATTAAGTCAGGTTCATGTAGAAGCATTGGAGGGTTGGGTTAGGGTGAAGGAAAATCCATACTAAACCTGGACCATTGTATTTATATTTCATTATGTTACATTGAATTTAAATCGATCTTAAATTGTAATTTTTATTTTTATTGATTTTAATTTTTAGTAGATTATTATTGATGTGTAGTCAATTTCAAGTTATGGTATTATGCTGAATTTATTAATGTTTAAAACTTTTAATAATGTTAGACTTTGTTATTATAAATTAATTGTAATATTATTATAATTAATTTTAACAATAATTATTGTTAAAATAGATAATTTTAACATCTTACTACACGTTCTCAATTTGAAAAATATTTTCTACACGTTCTCTAACAACTTACTAATGTCTGTTACATTTCTTTTTTTTTTTTCAATATTGGTGAAAGGTATATTCTACACGTTTTCTAACAACTTATTAATAGTATCTTCCCCCGAAACAATATCAGTTTCCTATTTCATTTTCCAACTTATAAATAGTATCTTCCCCCAAAACAATATCGGTTTCCTATTTTATTTTCAATAATGGTAAAAGAGAGAGAGACCTAACAGGCATAAATACACAAGCATATTGATAGTGGGTGAAAAATCGCAAGAATGGAAGTTGTACCCTAATTTATTAGTGAAAAATCCTAAATTAGTGAGCGGAAAAGGGTGAGAGGAAAGGGAGTGGGGCCTGTTGAGGTGGGAATTGAGAGAACTTGAAAAGGTAAGTAAGAGGCCCTCAGTCGAGATAAGGCAGAAAGGAAAATGCCGCATGTGGCATGGTTGATCTATCTCTCTCTGTAAGACTGCAATTTACTCAATGTTTTAAAAAATGGCTCAGAACTGGAATTGTTCTGGCCATCGGTTTTTAGTCGATGATTCGACTATTTGATCCAAACTGATGATCTGATAAAAAAAATTTAAAATTTAAAAAAAATATTAAAATTAAAAACATCCAAAAACAATTGAATGGGTCGAACAGTTTACCGGTTCAGCTGTTCGGGTCAATGGATTGTTGATTGATTCAATGATTTTTTGCCAGGGACCAGGTCTAGTGTAAAATGGAACTGATTGCTTGAACAATTTTTGGGCTGAATGGTTTGACTATCCGAGCCAATGATGGTTCAAAAACCATGAGTATCACCATCACTTAGGTCATCACATGATCATTTAAATGAGCCGGCATGATTTGAGATAATGGTGCAAAATTTATTGTGATCGTTTGAGAGGTAAAATGATTTCTAGAAAGTTCATTGATCAATTGTTTGGAAAATTACAATGATCAATAATTGAGGCTCAATTTAAAAAGAGTAAAAATATAAATATGTACAGTACAAATATATTCAAAATATAAGATTGCATATTTGTATTTATTCTCCTTCCAAACTGAGCCTAAGAGTTGTGGGCTTAAAAATTGTTAGATGTGTTAAATATGTTTAACCTTTTTAAGTTCCTTGTAATAAAAACTTTTCATTAAAAAGCGAAATAAAACAACTTCCGAGTTTGGACTACCTAAGGGGGGTGGACATGTAATTTGAATTTTTATTTTTATTTTTTGGGAAATTTTATTTGAAGTTTTAATACTCTCCATTTGTCCTGATGAACGACTAAAGATTTTATTTTTATTATTATTATTATTATTAAAGGATAGTGAGCAAGTAAAAACTTGTCTATGAGCATCATACGTTAGAGTTAACAATAACTCCAAATATTATTTCCAAGTCCAACCATCCATTACAGTTGTATATTGGGAACATCTCCCCATGAATAATGGAGGCCAGATCACCCAACAATAAAACACATTCCAACCCTCTACCAACATCATCTCATACATGACGGGTCCCTTTTTATGGTGGATTCCAGTCTCAAGTTAAGATGTGCCATGTGAGATGATGTTGATGCCGGATTGGAACATGTTTTGTTGGCAGAAGATCCCAATTCTGAATAAATGATAAGGGAGATATTCCCAATATACATACAGTTGATAAATTATTGGGAGCATATATCCCTAATCTGAGTCCAGATCTCCTACCCACGAGAACCCTGCCCATGTTTATCACAGCCACACATGGAGAACATCTCATCCTCTGCATAGTATTATACAGGGGGAGATGTTCCCAATTCACGGAGGATAATATATTGTGGGTAGGTGTGGGCAGGGTTCTCGTGGACAGGAGATCTAGAGTCCCCTAATCTATATGTTATCACTATAGCTAAAGCTACAATAATTTTCATTGAACACAATTATTATTTTATCCCTCACCCGTTACCATGTCATGTGCATGAAGTTGAAATGACCAAAATTTTGTCCGAGATTATGTCAAATTTTGAAGAAAAAGACACTCTTATGGTTTAACAAATTGACACAAACTTACCAAATAAGTTTTTTGATGATAGACATTGTTTATTAAATATTGATGGAAAAAGCAAAATATCAAATTTGCCCTTTATTATTTTCCAAAATTTCAAATAAAACCAAATGATGAAAATTTTCAAGAATAATGAGAGTCTAAGGAAGGAGGGCCCTGCCAATCACAAACAGCTCAACACCAGAAACACGTAGGTGGGTGTATGGGGGTTACTGTGCAAAGTGACTCCTTGTCTGCGGTGGCAAAACATGGGTCCTACGACAGCACTGGAAGCAGTGGGTCCCATGGTCTTTCTGGACTCCCTGATCAGTTTTTTTGCATGATCTATCGTTGGCTCCGCTAGTCTATATTTTTCAATGGCTTCTCAAGCTCCATGCAGCAGGGGTGGAACCCATGGCCATGGATGAAATTGAATTCGAATCTGTGCCTCACAGAACGTGTCACACGGGTGCCCCACAGCATATATTAGGAATATCTCCCAATGAGATGTTTCCAATGCACACTAAGATGTGCATTCCCACTCTGCCGGGCACATTTTATGCGGTGCAGATGTGAATTCGATCAAATTGTCTTCACCAGATAGATAGCTTCCTCAATTCTCTGACCTATTTCTCACCATTACAGTTCTCCAAGATTTAATTTGTAAAGGTATTAGACATTTTAACCCTGTTAGATATAACGGCTAATCTATTTTACGGGGAAGGTGTTAATCCATTTTGGAAAAAAAAAAAAAAAAAACGAGAAGGTTTCTGTATTTTATAACAAACCTCAAAGGAGAGGTTTAAGTCTTTTATCCACGTAAGACAGTCAACCAGGCCCAACAAAGCTTTCGAACTCCAAAGTTGATATGTTAAGTGAGGATGGAATTCCGTATGCCAGATCACGGGCCTTGCCTTGATTCAAATCACCCAAACTCAAGATTATCTCATGGATATAGCCTTGATCTTAATACAAGTGTTAAGTGTACAGGGGGCACCATTCTAAATTCATGAAAAGATTGCTTTATCATTATGTGTGTATAGTAGAGAGCTTTAGTTTTTGAGCAATTGAACGTAATACATCTAATTATTGTGTTTAGGGTCATAACCAATGTTTAGTATTGGGTAAAAAACAGAAAACGCTAAGAACCATGCCAAGCCCAGTAGGGCCCAAACAAGCCCAAAACACACTGATAGTGATAAGCTCCGCTAGATGCAATCCATCCACTAATTATTACAAGGTATGTGTGATAGTATCACCATCACTAGTTTTACTTTTATTTTAATGTTGGGGTCAGGTCGGGTTGTGCCTAACCCATGCCAAACTGGATCTATTGACATCCATTAATATTAAAACTATAAATTCCACACAATTATCTCAGTTAGGGATGACAATTTCTACCCTATTTATAAGGTACGTGCCTATTTATTCATAGGACAGTTTTTTTTTTTGCTTGAATGATGGATTTTAGAGTAAGAATGGGTTTTGGGATTCTACAACTATAAGATTAACCCAACCCTCCCTGACCTACATCTCATATATTGTTGGAAAGCATATGAACTTTATGTATTAGATGATAAATTTAATAATATTTTGAATTTTATGTAAAGAATAATTAATAGTTTGTGTTTTTTACATATCTTAATCAAATAGTTGAAAATTTTGTTAATTGTATGTTATTTTTACTTATTTATTAATTATATTTAACAAAAAATGATTAAAAAATAGATGTGAATTCTAAACCCAACTTGCCCTATACTTAAATGCAAGAAGAGGAATCAAAGAGAATTTTACATTTTCATATACAAAAAGGATTTAGATTCTCAAAATCCAACCCGTTAAAAATTTTGGGGCAGATACTAATTGGGACTTGGGAGGTTTAGAGAGGCAAAACTCCCCGAACATGCCCATTACCATATCCCTAACCTCGGTCTGTTTATCTTCTTAATTTATGTAATAAAATTAATGTTTGCAGCAGAAATAGCCCACTCGGCAGTCTCTTCACGGGCGGTATTTTGCTTTTATTTTAATATTTAATGGTTTTGTTGCTTCTGCTCTCTTTTTGTTTCTCCTACGTGATTTCACAGTCAAAGAAAATCCGTTTCACGTAACAAACCAACCTTCAATCTGTGTTGCGTTGCGTGCGCGCAGAGGTCAGGCTCAGGCATCTCCATAATCTATTGTCATTTGGACATCTATCTAGAAGTTCCACCATAAATCGGGGATAATGGGATATGGTTTCAGTACGGGAGCCACAGCACAATTGTCAAGTGATAAAAACTAAAAAGAAAGGAAACATGATTTACGCCTTTGATTTTTCATTTTTGGTGTAGCCCAAAGTTGAAAATTCCATGTCCAGTCGTGCCGCATGAAGCTTCGTTCATGTTCAAATAAATTTGACACTTGGAGGATAGATCTCCAGCAGCTGGATAATATAAAATCTAAACAACCCCACTACGTACAAATGTAGATTTATACATTATACATTAACTAACAACTTTATCTTTAATTAATTAGTTTCCATAGCTACTTTCTCCATGACATCATTCATCACAGCCCAGCTCCACATTTCTTCTCCCGTTAAGAAGATAAAAGGACGTTGATGATAACTTCCAAACTAAGGGATCGGAACACTCTTCCTCCTTCCATGAATGAAAGCGGATGGATGTTTTGGCGACTTTTCAGAGAGAAAAGAGAGAGGCCTTTAATACTTAATATTGAATCACCTTTTTTGAAAAGGTTGATTATCCATATGTGACTCTTCCTGCAGCTAGTTCTTGGCTATAAATACCCAAACCCATACCTCCCATTTCTTCAACAAGACAAGACACTACTGCTTCTACACTCAAAAATAGTACTGTGGGCGTGTGAGGAAGGAAAGGAGAGATCGAGAGGATGGTGGGAGTAGTGTACAAGCTTGAATTTGCTCATTTGTTTCTGCTGGTCTTAACCCTGTTCCATGTGTTATGTCATGCCCAAGACTCCCCAGAGGACTACCTCCATGCCCACAACATAGTTCGTTCTGAAGTGGGGGTTGGCCCTTTGACATGGGACAGCAAAGTAGCTGCTTACGCTCATAACTATGCTAGCCAGAGAATCGGAGACTGCAAGCTTGAGCATTCAGATGGACCCTATGGTGAGAACATAGCCGGAGGTGGTGATCCCTTTCCTGGCGTAGATGCTGTGAAGATGTGGGCCTCAGAGAAACAATACTACGACTACGCCTCCAACTCCTGCATTGGGGGAGAGTGCGGGCACTACACTCAGGTGGTTTGGCGCAATTCTGTTCGTCTTGGGTGTGCTAAAGTTCACTGCAACAATGGAGGCATCTTCATAATCTGCAATTATGATCCTCCTGGCAACTATATAGGCGAACGTCCATACTAGTTGCAGTGATTAACTGATTTGATTTAGGAAATTTTCACTCACTACTTGTACGTATCACTGTATCAGGGTTAAGTATTAAATTAATAAACAATTAATGGATCTCGTATCCTAAATAATATATGAAATGAAACAACAAAGATTAATATTAATTAATGTTGTCATTCATCAATTATATATGAAGATGGATCGATCCATGCTCATTATATACTTTAACGTTATTATATACTGCAAGGGGTTTTTCTCAGTGTAACATAAAAGAAAACAAGCAAATTAACCGCCATGAGAAAGAATCACTCACAGAAAGAGAATAAAATATATTAAAAGATTGTGATTTGACGATATACGTACCCATGTCATGAATTGATGAATGCTGGGTGTTATCAGGAAATGGTTGAATTCAGAACCCACACTCCCACAGAACCCAATTCAGTTAATTAAAGGGTCGATTCAAATCCAACCCTGGGCCTGGCGAAGCCTAGTAAGGGTTCGTAAGATCATTGAACGGAGGTTCGTAGTTACAGATTATAAAAACACTTTCGTCTGGGCACGTTGATCGAGCACAACCTACGCGCTCGGTATCAAAACACAAGCTGGACGAAATGCCTGCATTCGTGTCCACCAATGCAAGAATTGCTGTCATAATCGTAGTATTTTTTCTCGTCTTCCCAAGCTTTCACGGCAGTTGCAGCATTTACGTTGGCAAGACCTTTAGCACAGTAGATGTTCTCCCCATAGGGTCCATCAGAATAAACCACTTTACAGTTTCTTGATACCTGCATCGCGTAATTCTGAGCGTATTCTTCTAACTTGGGATCCCATCTCAGGGGGTCGACCCCGACTTTTGCACGGGCAGTATTCTGGAGTTTCAGGAAATCTACGGGAGAAGTTTGGCCTAGGGACACATGGACTTGAGCTAAGCCAACCACAAACAACAATGCTTTGATTAACAGTAGGGTCGACGACGATTGCATCACTGCAACTTGCTTTATTACTCCATCTGCTTTGTCTCTTGTACACATATATAGTTTTGTCTACACCAAACACCAACATTCTTTGCCCTTCAATATATAATGACAAACCAATGTAGACGTTGGCGCTTTCCAATCTTCTTCATGAAGACACCAGAGAGGTTGAGAGGGTCAAATCAAAATCGAAATTTATTCAATAAATAAATAAGAAAAAAAGAAACCCATACTTTTAGGACTGTCCAAACTGAATAATAGGGTCTGGAGCTGCAATTGTATGTCCCAATTAAGCAGGTTGGGATAAGTTGGTCGTTGCATGTACTTTTCTTCTCATGATATTCTTGTAATTTGTGATAGGGATAATTACTTAAATATACCTGGAGGCAATCATTTATATATAATGTAGTTCCAAAAATTATTGATATATACCTAGTTGATCTTTCAAAAGTTTAAGATAAAACTTAAAAGGATCAAAGTGTCCTTAAATTTTTAAAATATGCCTTTCTTTCTCCGTTTTTTCTTCCCTTCCCTCTCTGCTACTACGAACACCACTAAATGACAATGGTGGTGTTTTAAAATCAATAATGGATGTCCTCTGAAACTAAAATGAAAAGGGCTAATGAACCACGTTTTTCTTTGAAGACTGATGTTGAGCCTTTCCCCTAAAATCAATTGAATCGTTTGCCCCTGTTTGCCCCTTGTAAAAATTCGCAGGGAACTAAAGAGGAAGAAAGGAGAGAGAGAGAGAGAGAGAGAGAGGAGGGAACCTGCAGAGAAGGAAATGGCATGGGAAAAAAATCAAAAAGAGATGAAGAAAGATGATGACACGGATAAAATTGAGATTATGAAAAATTTAGTGGGCATATGAAACGGGACTAAATGTTTTCTTTAATAGATAGTCCATTTGTAATTTTTAAAACTACAGGGGGCATATATATTTAGTTCTTCAAACCTTAGTGTTTATATAACTAAATAACTAATTAACCCTTTGTCAGATTATCATGTTCAAATCTGTTAGTTCAACAAATAAAGCTAAGTTTGGGAGTGCTTATTCAAATAAACACTTATTTGTGTATGGGAAATAAGTCTGAATAAGTACTCATACTTAAAAATAAGCACTTATTCATGAAACCCAAAATTTGATATTATTTTAAGCACTTATTCAGTAAGTGCTTATTTGCTTTTTAACCCATCTTGGTCCGTTACATCATTTTGAAAATACCTATACCACCCCTATTTGAAATAAGTGCTTTTTCACCAAACACTCATGAACGCTTATTAGGATAAACACTTGTCAAATAAGCAATCTCATACATGGACTAAATATGTTTATCATCAATCTCTCTTAAAAGTATAGCCATCATGCAAGGTGCCAACGGGTTGGTTGGTAAGGTTTCTGGCTGAACCTAACCTGTACTGTATGCAGGGCTTTCCTAACAGTGCTGGAGGCATGACTGTATGGACTAACGTCACGTGGGGAAACCAATGGAGAGCACAGGCTGTCAAAATCTATTGGGTTTAAATTTGGTGGGTGAGAGAACACATTGATCACTTTGGTGCTAATGAGAAACTGAAGACTGATTATACTGATGGTACGCATAGGCCATGTGCAATTGAGCATCCTCCCTATAACAATTTCTACTCGACCTTCAGTCAAAGCTTTTCTGAAGGAATAATGTCATTTTGCCAAGTCAGTAAGAATTCCCAAAGCTCATCCAAGGAACAATACCTCCATCTGATGAAGGGAGAGAAGAAAATGCAGACTGGGTACCTATATGTGGATCCAGGGCTATTTGCCTCTATATGCTGCTGAATAATACAGACCTCTCTTGATAATACTTATTTATCCACCCTGTAATCAACTTGACTTCTGATGCCCTCTGCTCAACCAGCCAATCTGGATCCTCATCAATTGAAGGACGCAAATCTATGTGATGTGCACCTGATAAACAAAGGAAAAGTTCATTTAATTAAAGAACAATTTGTCAATTGGATGCATTAAAAGGAAATTAGACCAGTATCTGGAAGCAATAAATTAGAAGCTACTCAAGCTAGAGTTTCAGTATTTTATAGAGTCATGGGCTGTCTAGTTACCCTTTATTTCCTTCCTAATGAGAAGCACCACGTTATACATAGTAGATGCCACTGAATTTCAGCTATTTCATAAAAGATAATGCAGGATTAAGGAAAAAAAATAATGGTACATTAACAACTTTTACCCTTCATGTGGCAGAGAAGGCCATGAATAACATGAAAAACATACCGGAAGCACTGAGATAAACGTGCCTACTTCACATTCCCCACTGCCCCAAAAATAATAAAACAACAAAAACAAAGCACTTAGCTAGAGGTACAATTATGAAGACCTTGAAATATACACCACTTAGAAAGCATGCTGATACATGTACTACAATTCTACTGGACGACAGGTGAGGAGGGAAAAATTATGAACAGGTATTCCACACAACAAAGGCTGCACAGCTGGTATTTCAATAAGATTTATTGGTCAAAACTCCAAACCATCAATTTGATGGTAAACAACTTAAACAAGTCTTATCTCAAAAAAGGTTATCAACAGTGACAATTTAGCTGCCAAGCAGAGTTCGGACCGTGCAACCTCTACTGGGGTCAAGCCATACATCATAGAATCACAGATAACAAAGTGTGGCTGCACTAGATCTAAACTAACTTGAAAATATTATGCCACTTCATGCTGCTATTAGCTCTAATCTGGGCATTGGTGAAAATCCCTTACCCAGAGTATTCTATACTCTGTTCTCAATTACCTCCTGTATGCTGATTGAAATTGAATAATCAACATGATGCAGAAAAGAGCATATTCAACTCAATTCAGCCTTAATTCCAGCTATTTGAGGTCGGGCTGGTTGGCTACATGATACCTGTCCTGCCATGGTGCTCTATCAAGAGCCATGTTTTTGTCAAAACAAAAGAGCATGCAATGAGTTTTCTTTTGTATCTTSATAAACTACCTCCAACAATGGAGATACTATAAGAGTAGAAATAACTAATTGCAGATTTAGTCGAGTTTCTTGTGAAAGGAAAGAGGGGGAAGATGAAGATTTCA